CTCGCATGGACTTATCCGACCTACTCAGAACCCGTTCCCGCCCTGCCCCGGGGCCCCCTCCCTCGTACCCGGGCTTTCGGTGTTGGAGGACAGATTCCTGGTCCGGTCCGGCAGGCAGGCGTGCACTGCCCTCTACACACCTCTGTGTTCGCTTTGCGGGTAAAGCCCCCCGGGGGAAGGGGTTGCGGACGCGTCGGGTTTCTTTCTTTCTGTATTTGTACGTTTTATTTATTAACGGATTGCACTCGGGTCAGGGAGGAGGCATCGAACCCCTATCTTTCCCGCCGACTCCCGGGACTTGGGATGTCCAGGATCACTTATTCCGCCTCTGAGCCGGGACCCTAGTTGGGCTCTGCCTCCTGGGAGCCGAGGACCCCGCCTCCCAGAGGCCGACCCCTCCTCCGAGGCCCTGGCCCCATCCCCACTCAGTTGCCAACTTTCGCCCGTCTATGCCAAAGCCTCGGCGGCGACCCTGTTCAAGGGCCCGCCCCATTGGCCGCCGCCTTTGTGACGTCACTGCATGCAGCCCCACCCCTCCTCCCAACCCTTCCCGGGGCTGCCCGCTCTCCCTCCCTCTTAGTTAGTCCGATGCCGACTATAGAGCAATAATGCGCACTGCATGCGAAGCTGCCGCAGCCTCTAGAGTTACTAAGAATCAGGTATTCCCCGCCCTACCCAACCCATAGGCCCCTAGATCAGGGATGCTGCGCGGGGCCGGCCGCGCAGACTTTCTTTTCCCCCTTCCCGCCCCGCCATGGCAGAGCCAGCTGGGCCGGCAACACAGTTCCGGGGGCGGGGGCGGGGTGGCTGCACCAAGGCCTCTCATTATCAATCACTCACCGGCCGTTTACTGGGCACCTACTATTTGCCAGGCCCGTTGCTGAGTCTGCCAGACACGGCCACCTTGGGGGAGGTGCTTGTCCGCGACAGGAGCCCAACMGACTTGCGTGTGTCGAGGATACACGCAGATGCAAAGGGCAGGGACCCTGGGCCCAGATGGCCTCACTCCTCCTCACCTCTGTTCGGTCCGTGCTGGTTGCCATGGGGCTCTGCTTTTGACTTGGGCCTTGAGTTCCCAGCTCAGGCGGGACAGAACCCAGAACCCAGCTTCACTAGGGTCGCCCACAGAAGCGCCCAACCTTTGATTCCCTGGCAAACGCGGCTCTGCCGTGTGCGGCCAAGGTGCAAGCTGGAGTATATGATACGAACAGCCTCATCCCCAGCACCAAGCGTGACTGCCCCACAGGGGCGGACCTGCCGGCCCAGCACAGCTGTGCTCCCATCCAAAACCCCCTACACCACCCGGGGTGGTGCCTGCATAGTTTCCCAGCCCAGGCCWGCCCGCCTGTGCCGCATGCACACGCACACACAGGCGCCCTGCCCCACCCCACTCCTGTCTACCTACCTAAGGAGAATGCCCGAGGGCCTTGAGCCGGCCAGGTTCTCCTGCTTCCCCCACACCCTGCCGCCGTGGAAAGCCATGGGCCCCCTCCTGCCCCCATAACTAAGCAGCACAATAACCGACTTAGCGAATTCAGGTAGAAGGAACGTTTAGGTAGCACCTATTTTGTACTGATTCTACAAGTAGGGCCCGAGGTGCGGGGCCCTCGGGTGGGGGCTGTGGCCGCCGGCCCGCCCCGCCCCCACCCCTGCCTGCGCCCCGCCGCCTTGTACATTTTCCCTGCCCTGAACAGGCTGGGATTTTTACTCGGGCCGCGCCCCTCTTCCGCCCCCGTTTGGGGCCGGGCCGGCCGGACAGACGGACGGACGGACAGACCTCCTTCCTAAGCACAATAGCACCAGCTCCCCGGAGCGCCGCACCTCCACAAGGAGAATAAATGCCACTCTTGATAGAATTTGTAGTGTTGGCTGATGTGATGTGTCCTCTCTGGGGAGCTGCTCGGGGTGTCTGGGAGCATCTTCCCCATGCTGAATGCACAGCTCAAGTAGCTGCTGGTCCAGGCCTTTCTTCTAGTGGAGAGGGCTACTTGGCTGGCTGAGCCATAGGAACACCTTTCTGAAGGCAGAGCAGTTGGCACTTCCCTGTGGCAGGGGAATCTACACCAGGAACTGAGGGCATAGATGGGCTTTAGCCCAAGGTCAGGCTCAGCCTAGGCTGATCCAAATAGTCAGAATATGTACAGCAAGGGGTGCAGTTCTCTGCCTGAGATGTCTCTACTGTCTCTTATTTTCCTTATAGGGGCTTCTGCTGCTCCATAGGCCTGACCTGAAGGCAGCTTTATCAATAGCTCCAGGTCCCTCTAAGTTGCTATTGGAAAAAATGGAGATGGCAGAGATTCTGAAGTGTAGCTCTCCTTGTGGCCTGCTGCTCTCATGWTGACTACCAGACTCTGGGGTATGTTCCCATACCACTGGAGAATGCAGAAGGGGTGAAGGTGCTAGCAGGGAGAAGTGCCCCAGGGGCAGGGAGGCTTTCACAGCCACCCACAGACCTTGGGCTCTAGACAGGGAAAGCAGAGTTGAAAGCGGGTACAGGATTGTGCGGGGTGGAGAGCAGAAAGGCAAGGACCTAGGCAAGGCCTAGCAATGGCACCAGTAATCAGGTAGACAGTCATGAATTGAGTGGCTCAAAGACTTTGTGCACATGTGATCAAACTAGGTTAGCCCTAGACCAAGGTCAACACAGCTGTCCACATCCTGGCAAGGCCAGGGACCAGACCTGCCCAGTGGAGATACAGCTCTAGCAGGTAATAGCCTGTGGCCTGATTCTTAGATGGGGCTATAGTAGGGGTGAGCATCCCCTTCTGGGGAGCTCCACCAGCAATAACAATTGTAGGAAGGCATGCCTGGTACTGGGAGGGGTGAGTGGCCAGGGCCTCCTGCAGAGGGATCCTCACTGTCACTGCCCCTGGGCTGGGCAGGCATAATTGTCCTGTTTGCAGATAAGGAACCTCAGGGAGGTGATAAAGAGCTTCTCTAAGGTTGAAGGATCCAGGGTTGCCTTTGACACAGCCCTGCCCCAGTACTCCACATTCCCCTATACCTGGATCTACACCATGGCAGAGAGAAAGGCTTCTAGTTGTCCACTCCTTTCTGATGGACTGATCCTACAAGTTCAGCGTCTTGATGTGCTGCTTCTGCTTCTTTAGGATTCTGAGGGTGATGGGGGTAGGAGAATGSAAGTGACCTCCCAAAGTCCTGGATGAGCCCATGTCCCCATTCTTCCCAGCTGTCCATAGACACTGCTTTCCATCCCAGGGAATGGGTAGCATAGGCCTGTGAACACCACTGACACGTACTTCCCTCTCCACACACCTGGTTGGTTTCCCTGGTCTGCCCATGACCCTAAGGCACTGGGGTCAGCCTGAAACCATTTTTAAACCTCAAAACCCTCCTGGTCCCCATACAGCTTCATCCCCCTTATTTGTTGCTACTCCAGGCAAAGGGAGCTGCCCCATGATTTTCTTGCCAACCCTACCACAGCACTGCCCCAACCGACCTCACCTACTCTGACCTTTCTCCTCTTCCCTGCTGCCCTAGGCCACAACTTGACCTGGATTTCAGTGTACTGGCACTGTCTGCCAGATAACCTCAGACTTCCACCCAGCCCCGCCCCCCTACCCAGGTCCTGCCTCCTCCCCACCATTCTCAGCTCTACACATTTGGCAGGCCAAATCTTCCTCCCTGGTGGCTCTGACCCCTCCTCTGGTAGTCTYAGTCCCCAGGCCACTTGCCAGCTAATAGCTTTGAGCCAGGACATGGCAGAAGGCATCCACCTCCAACACCACTCTCCACTCCTCAGTGGCTGATGTACTGGGCCTCTCCTGGCTTACTGGCATGCTCAACCTTCTCCACCCATCAGCATAGGCACAGGCCGGCACTCTTATTTCTTAGTTCCAAATTGGAGGGTGGCAGGGCCAGAGGATTCATGGGTTCGCGGAGGCCTCCTGCGAAATACCTGAAAAGGGAGTRGGTAAGGAGTGGCAGAGCTCCTATGGCTCAGCCCCGCGATCCAGGCTCCCAAGGGRTCACTTTCTTTCAGCCTCCTTTGGGGTCCATACTCACAAAGTCCCAGCCCCGCCTGGCTCAGCAGGCCACAAGGCAGTTGCTGGAAAGGGCTGGTTCTGACCCACCATGTCTGAGAGGCTTTTCGGCCATCAAGGCGGCTCTCTGCAGGCTACACGAAGACGCCTGCTAGGTAAGTCCAGGTCTGCCTGACACCTGGGCTGATTTCAAGCCAAGAAGGTCAGTGTCAGTAAGAACACCCTCAAGGGGGACCGGCCCTCCATCCACCGTCGGAGGAGGAGTGGAGCAGGGGTGAGCTCAGTGGGAAAGGTGTTCCCCGTTTGCTCCAGAAAGGCGCTTCTTGGCCCTGCCCTCCCTTGGGAAACGAGCATCTGTGCGTCCCGCTGCTAGAAGCTTTTCTAGGGAAGTCCCGGGGAAGTCCAGGATGATCACTGAGTGCCGGGTGCAGGACGCGTGTCTGCCCTAGAGGGCGCCCCGAGCAGCCGTGGTGGATGATTAGTTACTTCACTTAAGGGTCGGGCGATGGGACATGCCCGTTGTGACTTGACCTGGGCATCTCCCCCTTGATGCTCAGACCTGGCCCTTGTGGGAAGTCCCCGTAAGTCCACTCTAAGCGGTCCCTGGGTGGCTATTAGAGGGCTCTCGGAGCACGACGGCATTAGCTTCCGTCGGGGCGCGCATTCGGACACCGGCTGGGGCAGCCGGAAGGTAGCGCACAAGGCGTCTCCAAACTGCTCGCCAGGCTACAGGACGGCGAAACCCTTGTTTACAGAAGCGGGCCACGGGCCAGGCGAGAGGCCTGGGGAAGTGCGCGGCTGCCTTGGCTGGGCGCTGGCGCAGCCCTGTGGCCTCCCAGACGCCGCCAACTAAGGAGAGTGGCGCTTCCAGGGTTCTCGGTGGGGAACTGGGACTGTGGCTCCCAGCATGCCCCGCGCCGCACGTCCCGGCGACCGCGGCTCCCAGCGTGCCTCGCGCCCCGCTCCGCCGCCTAGGCCCCGCCCTTGCCGGCTGTGGACTACAAATGGCCGCGCGCGGTGGCCGCCGGCCAGTCAGCGGCTTCGAAGAAGGGCGGCCGCGGGCTACGGCGGCCGGCAGGGGGCGGCAGCGGCCGTTGCCCAGGGTGCGGAGGCGGGGTCGGGGGCCTGGAGGACTGTGAGCCCGGCSGGCCACGACTGGTGCGGGCTGAGGCCATGGGCGACCGAGGCGGCACGGTCAGCTCCCGGCGCCGGAGGACCAGTTCGCGGCCCTCGGGCCAGGGTGGCGGCGGGCCGGTGGGAGCGGAAGAGGAGGTGCGGGACGGGGCTCCGGGCCCCGACGTGGGCGCTGGGGGTGACGCGCCGGCTCCAGCCGCCGCCTCGGACAAGGACGGAGACTCTAACGTGGGCAGTGGACACTGGGAGCTGAGGTAACGGAGCGCTTGACCCCTCTCCTATGACCCCAGGCCCCGGGACTCTCCCGGTCAGAGTGGCCAGAGCAGTGAGTCCGGAGACTTGTCCCTCTTGGGCACCGCGGGTGCACTGAGACTTTCGGGGGAGGGTCACCTGCCAAGGTCACCCAGGTCAGGGCCAGGAGCTGGCCTTCCTGGCCAGACAGAGGGGAGCGGAGGAGCAGCCCCTTTTCCAAAACACTTGGGCTTGTGCACAGTCAACTGGGTCCAAAGGCCCTTTATGAGGCCTGGTCCCCTCCTGGGTTGGTCCACTTTCTTCTCTAGAAGGGTGCATGGGATGGGRGGCCTTGTGGTGAAGGGGTCTCTTTTGAGGGCTGTGAGGGATACGTGCCAGTAGGGAAGGCTCCCCAAAGAGGATTGGTCTGCCAGGGAGRGTCTGGCTGGACTCGGCCTGTCTGAAGACAAGGGAATGGGTGTTCCCAGGCAGGAGTGAGTGCAGGAGACCTTCTTACTGTTGCAGACCTTCCTGAGAGTGGTGGCCGGGCCTATCATCCCTCACCCAGTGGTTAGGGACCTGTTTACGGTACCAGAATGAGTGCTGCTATGGAGAGTTGGGTCTTGTGTGAGGACTTTCATCCCCTGGTTGTAGTACAGGAGAGGGGTTTTGATGTGGACACACCTACCGGTGGGGCCCTGCTTATCTGAAAGATGGACAGGAAGGGGGGGTGGAGGACTTGGCCTGCCTGGGCCTGGGTCTTCCCCAAATCTCCCTTTCTTGTCATGATCCTGAGATTCTCAGGGACTCTGGCATAGGGGGCAGCTAAGGGGCTAGGAGGAAGGGCTGATTGGCAAGGATTTGCTTTCTCAGTAAACAAGAACTGAGGCTTTCTTTACCTAGCACTCTAGGGAGAGGGCTGAGGGAGGGCAGCTGGGGTACAGGCCCTGTCACTCTCCTTGGTGGTGCTCACAGTTCACCTGGGAGATAAGATAACCTCAGTGTGAGGCAGACATGGCACACTGTGAACAAAGGTCGGATAAGGAGGCCATGAAGATACCATGGGGGAGGAGGCTRGCCCTCTTAAGAGGGGCACTGGCTTCTTGGGGCCTGGGAATGTACTGAGGGAGGCTGGTCCAGTACCTCCTGCCTGAATAGGAGTTGAGGGCCCTATTCAGGCTCTATTCTCTGTTAAATGCCCCAAGTTGCCCTCCAGAAGGCTGGGTGATGGCTTATATGATTTCCAGAGGGGTTGGGAATTGGGGTTATTTTGTGTGAGATTGATAGGGAGGTCCCTACTGGGCCAAGCTACAACCTAGGGTTAGGCAGGGGAGAGCAGTCACATATCTTCTTTGCACTGGCCAGTGAGCCTTTTCTGTGTCCCTGCTGTGTGAAGCTAGTGGGAGAGGAGGAGGGTCTCCCTGGGAAGAGGAATGGTAGATGGCAGCAATGGGGCCATCCAGGGCTGGAAAATGAGCTAGCTGATTATCCATTTGTGGGTCTTCAGGACAAGTAGGCTCTGTATGCTTATCTCTCGACCCTGGGGAGGCAGCAGGGCTTTTGGATTGCTGGTTGGGGTGCTAGACTCCATTCTCCCTGCTGTCAGGCCAGTCCTTGCTCTGGCTATGTTCCCTGAACTTGTCCTGTAGCTCACCCCTTTGTCACCCTTTTCTCACCGTTTTGTTTCCTACTTTTGGCTTAGCCCAGCCTTCCTCTCCCCCTTCCTTCTGACTCCTTGAGCTCTGGCCTCTTCCCCTCCCCAACACTTCCTGCTCACCTGAGACTGGGCAGGCAAGCTAGGCTCTGGGTGTGAGCTCATTTCTTCTGCCCTGTGGCAAGGTGAGGCTGTGAGGCAGGAAGGGGAGGTACTCCTTGCTCTGCCTCCTGTTTACCCTTCCAGGCTCTGCAGACTCCCACCAGTCCTTGGTTCACAGGCACCCTAGGCATGATCTTGTGGTTTTGAGGTTCTCCTAGGGTGTTTGTCCCTGGGTGTCCTACCTACCTCTCCAGCAGAGTGTGAGAGGCATGGGGAGCCTGTCCCAACCATCTGGTACTCCAGAGGTTGTTGTAGAGGAAGTGCTGAAGAGGTGGCAGCTGGGAGGGGAGCCGGCAATCTGCTCCCCTCCTTGCTCTGCTTGGCCCTGGAGCTTGACTTTGTGGTCCAAGAGGTCCACACTTGAAAGCTGTCTTTGGGCATGGTATAGACCTTGGCAAGTTCATCATGGGGATGCACAATGCCCATGTGATATTGAGTGTGGGGCAAGAAGGAGAGGGCACCCCTTCCTGCTCTGCCTGCAGTGGGCTTGGGGCTGCAGGAGGGAGAGAGGGCTGTTACAGGTCCTCTTGGTCCCAGGGAGTGGGCATAGGACAGTTGGAAGGTGCATGGCATGGACAGGCTCTCTAGCAGGTGAGAGGAGGAAAAAAGTATCTTGGGCATGGCTGGATAGCACTCTCCTGCTTTGTAGCCTGCGCTCTAGCCCATTTACTGCTGACTACACTGGCAAGCCTGGGCCTTTGTGGGCATTGGAGCAGGGGGGCTTCCTCCCCTGGGTCAGGGGCCTGCAGCAGGGGATGGGGTCCCACCTGCAGCAGCTGGTGGACCTGAGGTATGGGTGTGTGCCATTGAGGAAGGCCTTGAAGCCCAACAAGAGGGATCTGAAGAAGCCCTTGTGTGGCTTTCTGGCATTGGTCTTGGAATGCAAGACCCTTTCCCTGCTACTGTCTTCATCTTGGTAATGGTCACAGATAAAGCAGCATACTCTTGGTGGCCCAAAGGGGGCAGAGGTCACACTGTTGTGAAACAGCCATGGTGGTGTGAAGACAGCTTGACATTTGGTAGGTCGTAGCATAAGGAGGCTGGCCAGGCTTTGGGATAATTCTGGTGAAAGTGAATGGGCTCTAGCTTGCCAGAGAGGGGGGCAGTTGAGAGGTCCTCTCCAGTGGACAGGCCCAGAGAGGCTGTCCTTCTTGCCTCATGGTATTGGGGCTCTGGGGAGGGCAGACATTTGAGTGAAGCCAGTTGGGGGGTGCCCAGGGGGAAACAATCAGTTGGAAAAGCAGATACAGACTTTGGGTGAAGAAGGGCTCAGGTAGAGACCACAGCTTCACTGTGTGGCTTAAGGTGGGCCTAGTGGGTAGATACAGGAAGCYCAGGACTGAGTTTGGGAGAGAGTGTTGGATAATGGCAGGGGCTGAAGTTGGAGTGGAGCTGCCTTGTATTCATTCCTGCCTGAGACAGGCAGTAGGAGAGGTGTTACCACCCTCCCTGTATCCAGAGGCTGCCAGGGGCTAGTGTGGATGGTACCAGGTGCTGAGCAGACACCAGGGGGTGCAAAGGTTGAGCCAGTTGGCACTGCCCCTTAGCCTCCTTGGTCCCCCTCCTTCTAGGTGGGGCTGTCTGATCACTGCCTTTGATCAGAMCCAGACTTGCTTCTGGGGACTGAAGCAAGCCAACTCTGAGGGGGCATCCGTGTCATAGTGCTGGTCACGGGCTCCTCTACTTTCTCCCCCTGCTTACATGCCCTGAGAGGGAGATTGTATTGGGGGAGGGAAGGGGAGGCTCTGGCTTCTGCTCTTACAAAACTAAAGCCTTACTCAATGCCACATGGGGCTTCCTGGAGGCATAGCAGCTGGAGGGCAAGGCAGGGTCATAGTTGGTAGGAGTGAGCCAGGGTATTGGTTCCTGGGGTGTGGGCTCTGGCCTTGCTCGTGTTTGTTGTTGCCAGGAGCTGGGTCTGGACCTTATCTCAGCCATATCACCTGGCCCCTTTGCCAGGGCCAGGTACTCCTCTTCACAGACACCGTCTTTTGGGAGTGTCTCCTACCCTAGCACTTGGTGGAAATGTTCCTGGTTTGAGGCCTGCTTCTGCCAGAAGCTTCTCTGCCATCAGGTCCTGGCCCCCTAGTGATCTCCTCTTGGCATTCCCAGCCTAGGCAGGACCATTGCATTTACCATAAGCACATGAGGTCTGACTCACTGCCCCCAGAAAGGTGCACGTTAGGCTGGGAGGCTGGGCTGGCCATAGGACTGGGTCACTGCCCACTCAGGCTTGGGAGTCTAAATGTGGGGAGGAGGCTCATCTGGGCTCTGGTGTCTGCAGACCCCTTAGTTTATTGGGTGGGTAGAATGGGTGGACTGAGCAGGGTGGACTCCACCCCCACATCTTTTTTTCCCAGCAGTGCTGGGTGGGTTCACAGATCCCCAAGTTGTATTCTTCTGGTGGCCTGAGAGCCTGATTTCAGTCAGGGCCCTCTGGGGAGCAAAGCCAGGCTCCTGACCCAGGGTGCTCAAGCCCCATATAAACTTGGTCAGCTCCTTCCTGTCTTTTGTGAACCTTCTCTGCCTAGAGGAAAAAGCCTCTGCATGGTCCTGAGAGTTTTGCCTACTATAGGCCATATGGCTGCTGGTGTAACCTTTTCTGGGTCCTCCCCCTGAAGAATGGGGTACGTGGGCAGAAGAGACAGTTGGCGGGGGATGGGTCACAACAGTGAGCCCATCTCTGCCCTCTGGCATCTGCTCACCAAGGGGCCTATTCCCTACCTTGTCAGGTGCCATCGCCTGCAGGATTCTTTGTTCAGCTCTGACAGTGGCTTCAGCAACTACAGAGGCATCCTGAATTGGTGTGTGGTAATGCTGGTGAGTAGGATGGGGTGTGGAAGCAGGCCCACCTGTGGCCAGGTGTGGCAGAGCTTTCCAGGTGGGCCTTTTTCTGAGCACAGGCTGTGCCTCAGGCATGTGGGAGCTAGTGCTAATGTGGGCTGGGGTGCCTGGGGCATGTTGCAGCTGCCCTGGATAGTGGGGGAAGCAAGGGTGTTCCCTGCAGTGGCCACAAGATGTCCTGCTGGGTCCTAGGTTAGCCTGTGGAGGCCATGTGGTTAGTGGGGAGGCTGAGCAGTGCACTCTGGGCAGAAGGACTCTTCACTGAGAAAAGTGCCTCAGGAGTACAATCCCCCTGGCTGTACTGGGGTGACATGGGAGGGCAGAGAGAAGGGGAGTGTTGAGTGGCACCAGGGCTGAGAGGCTTTTGGGGACTGAGCGTGGGGTGCTCTATGGGTACAAAGCTTTCCTGGAAAGGTGGAGGTCTTGCAAGTCCTATGCCAGTGGTGTCAAGGGCATGGCRTCTTCTCCTGGCCCCTCTTCCTTAGCCTTGGGTCCTGGTGAATGAGAGTCTTTTGCCGTGTCCAAGGTCTGCTGTCTCTAGGACTTCATTCCATTACTTTGTGGGGTCAGGCCAACAGCCCCACCCCAGATGCTCAAAAGGGCAGGCAGCCTGTAGGGCAGGTCAGGGGCAAGCTTCCATAACTCAGGGCTGATGTGGCCTGAGGCCTTCTGTTCTCTTCAGATGTGAACACCTCTAGTTTGGGTACAGCTCCTTCAGCCCATGTGGAAGGGCTTTGTGTATACTATACCCTGCGGTGTCCTGAGCTTCCAGCACCATTTGCCTGGAGAGGGCCTTGGTCTCAGTCAGCTATAGGAGGCCACAAACTCTAGGGTGGGTGAGTAGCTGGTACCACACTGGGGATGTGGGTCCAAGGCCAACCTGATCCTCAGGAGATGAAATGTCCCACTTCTGTCCCAGACTGGGTCTATAAGAGTTATCTCAGCCAGCCTGGGTAGTACTGTCCGTTCTCTTGCAACCCACTGGGCCTGCCTGGCTCTTGGGCATAATCCTACAGTCTTTCCCCTGCTCTGGGCCCTCCACCACCTCCTCCCTAAAGAAGGTCATTCATGCATCTTGGGCTCCAGCTGCCTGCTGTGGCCTCTCAGGAGAAGTCACGCAATGCAGTCGATGATGTGGGGTCACGTGTGTTGGGGCAGCAGGCTGGCTGCAGTTGGGGGAGGTGGCTCTTGTGTCCCTGAGCTTGTCATCTCTGTAAAGCCTTCCCTGACCACCCAGGCAAGGACCAGTGTTCCCTTGTGAATGTTGCTGTTCCATTTACACTGTGCGGGGCCTGTTCTCTGGGCAGATGGCCAGGTTGATGGCATCAGGGCCCACCTCCTGGGGTGCAGGTGGTTCTTGTAAGACAGATGAGCAGGGAGGACAAACACCTAGTCCCAAGCCAGAGCTGGGGGTCTGTTTCAGTGGGGGCTCAGCCCTTGGAGACACCACTAGGGCTGAAGTATTTCAGGAAGAGCTGAGGCAGGGGAAGGGCTAAGTACCTCTACCCTGCTCCTCAATGCCTGCAYTTGCCCCACAGCCATTTGCCCTGCAGGAACCAGCCTGGCTTGTGGGGTGTTGGGCAAGGATGGGCAGCTCTTCCTCTTCAGCCTGGGCTGCTAGTAGGTAGTGGTCCTTGGAGATTAGTTTTGGGCAGGTTCCCTGGGCAAGCAAGTGTGGGCTTTGAGACCATCATAATAGTGACAGGCTGTGGGGTAAGCTGAGGCTTCCAGCTCAGCTAAGCTGGCAGTATGAGGGCTACTGAACATTGGGTCTGAGTCCATCACTCCAGGTGCTAACCAAGATGTGGGCATCTTCTAGATAGTGTTAGTGGGGTTGCTAYTTCTCTTTGCCCCCACACTGATATGTGGTAAGGTAGATGGTGAGTTTCAGAGCTTGGCATGGAGAACAGATGGAGCTGGGTCTATAAGGATGAGGCTGTTGCCTGCCCAGGGCCTCTGGCTCCAGAGGTGCTGTGGGGAGTTGGAAGGTGCTGGCTGGGTGGGGTGCCCTGGTGCCAGTACCACCATGCTGATCTATTGATTATCTGCAGATCCTGAGCAATGCACGATTATTTTTAGAGAACCTCATCAAGTGAGTATTTTTTCTCTAGGCCCCATATAACCTGCCACCAGGCCAAGGCCCCACTCCCATTCAGACCTCCTTGCCCTACCCCCAGGTATGGCATCTTGGTGGATCCTATCCAGGTGGTGTCTCTGTTCTTGAAGGACCCCTACAGCTGGCCTGCCCCATGTCTGGTTATTGGTGAGCTGGGTTCTGAGGAGGGCCATGGGTAGGGACCAGGCTGACCTGTCCTGAACCTTCTCTATGGTATTTCTGTCCTCAGTGGCCAACGTCTTTGCTGTGGCTGCATTCCAGGTTGAGAAGCGCCTGGCTGTGGTAAGCAGTCCCTTGTGACCTGCCCCCAGGTCAGCTCTCATCGACCGCACTTACAGGGTGAGGGCCCTGAATGACTGTTCTGCTCTTCACAGGGCACCCTGACRGAACAGGCAGGGTTGCTGCTGCATGTTGCCAACCTGGCCACCATCCTTTGCTTCCCAGCAGCAGTGGCCTTACTGGTTGAGTCCATCACTCCAGGTGTGTCCCCACCCATCCGTCCCAGCCCACACTGGGCTCAGCCTGTATGGCACAGATCCCCCATGGTGCATGGGGGCCATGGCTGAGCCTGCCTCTCCCACAGTGGGCTCTGTGCTGGCTCTGGCAGCATACACCATCCTCTTCCTCAAGCTCTTCTCCTATCGGGACGTCAACCTGTGGTGCCGCCAGCGTAGAGCCAGGGCTAAGACTGGTGAGGCTGGTGAATGAGAACTTGTCTGGGGGTGGGCCTGGRTGGCATGGGTCAACCCTGGTGTCCCATCTGTTTTGCTTGCAGTCTCTGCAGGGAAGAAGGCCAGTGGGGCCTCTGCCCAGCGCACGGTGAGCTACCCGGACAACCTGACCTACCGTGGTGAGGACCTGTGGGGCCAGGTCGCAGGGGTGGGGGTCAGGGGCAGGGTCAAGTCTGTACTGGTTCCAGCTCCTCTCTTCCCTTTCAGATCTCTACTATTTTATTTTTGCTCCTACCCTGTGTTATGAACTCAACTTCCCTCGCTCCCCCCGAATTCGAAAACGCTTTCTGTTGCGGAGGCTCCTTGAAATGGTGAGGTTTAGGGCCGAGGGAGCCACTGGGGGTGGGAGGGATTTGTGGCTGGTGGTGCTAGGTTCTCAGCTGGCTGCTCTTTGGCTCTTCCCCTCAGCTGTTCTTTACCCAGCTCCAGGTGGGGCTGATCCAGCAGGTAAGTGGGTGAGAAGGTGGGTGGCAGGGGCCAGATGCAGCCGGGTACTGATCTGGTGCCCTCCTTTGCAGTGGATGGTCCCCACCATCCAGAATTCCATGAAGCCCTTCAAGGTGAGCAGCTGGGCTCTCCTGTGGCTGGGGTCGGTTGGGTGGGGGCCACAGCCGCTGAGGCAGCCTGTCTCTTCAGGATATGGACTACTCTCGAATCATTGAGCGCCTCCTGAAGCTCGCCGTGAGTATTAGCAGTGGGCAGGGTRGGGGAGCACAAGTGGCAGGTGGGCATCTGGAACCTGGAGCCCCCTCCCTTACAGGTCCCAAATCACCTCATCTGGCTCATCTTCTTCTACTGGCTCTTCCACTCCTGCCTGAATGCTGTGGCGGAACTCATGCAGTTTGGAGACCGGGAGTTCTACCGGGACTGGTGGTGGGTGGCCTTGAGGGTGGACCTGGGGACTGGGGTGGGCTGCAGCATGCCTTGCTCACCCCATTGTCTCTCAACCCTAGGAACTCTGAGTCTGTCACCTACTTCTGGCAGAACTGGAACATCCCCGTGCACAAGTGGTGCAACAGGTAGGTGGGTGCTGTGTGTGCATGTGTAGGATGTGGGCGTGCACCTGGGCCTCTCCCTGTAGCCTCCTTCCCTTGCAGGCACTTCTACAAGCCCATGCTACGCCGGGGTAGCAGTAGGTGGGTGGCCAGGACAGGGGTGTTCCTGGCCTCAGCCTTCTTCCACGAGGTCAGTGCTGTGAGGGCATCCTGCCTCACCTCTGGGCAGGGGTGTAGCCACTGAGACATTGATGCCCTGTTCTCCCCTCACCCTAGTACCTCGTAAGCATCCCSCTGCGAATGTTCCGCCTCTGGGCGTTTACAGCCATGATGGCTCAGGTGAGCAACACCCCAAATGCCTCACCCACCTGAACCCTGTGCCAAGCCCCATTCCCTGTGGTTACTGCCTGCTGACCTTGGTCTTATGTGTCCTCAGATCCCATTGGCCTGGATTGTGGGCCGCTTCTTCCAAGGCAACTATGGAAACGCAGCTGTGTGGCTGACACTCATCATTGGGCAACCAGTKGCGGTGCTCATGTATGTCCATGACTACTACGTGCTCAACTATGAGGCTCCCACAGCAGGGGCCTGAACTGCCCAGGCTTGACTGCCCACAGCCAGGACAGCCAGCCCTCCCTGCCTGTTCAAGCCTGGGGGGAACCTGGCTGCTGAGCCTTCCTCCTCCTGCCCCAGGAAGTGTCTCTGCCCCTATGGGGCTCCCTCCTGCTCCCCTTAGGGATGGCAACAATTAGAGTCTAGCCCACCTGGCAGGAGCCAGTGCCTTCTTTGGGAGTCTGTGCTGACTTGGGGAAGAGGGTGCCAATAAAGTGCTGTCTAGAGTGACTCCCCTCAGCCTCCTGGGGGGCTAGTGGGAGGGATGGTCCAGCACCAATTCTGTGGGAGCAGGAACTCCAGGGGTTCAAGGCCCGTTTCTGGTCCTCAGGCAACCAGATGAGGCTCTGGTGCTCTGTGGGGAGTCTCTGGGTCCTGATGTCCCACTCCATTCCAGCTGGCAGTCTTTCTCCTTGTGTGCCTACAACCTCCTGGGGTGTTTGGGCAAGGCCACTTAGCTGTATCAGGATAGGAGACAGCAACCCAGTTTCAGCTTAAGGTAGTGAGGTTCAGGGGTAACYGGGCAGATCCACTGCTTAGGAAAACACAGCTAAGGTCACACTTCCTGACCCAGCCCTACCAAGCTGATCTTATGTGGGGCTAGGGCTCAGTGCTCCATAGGCCCCAGTGCACAACTAGCTTGCTTGGTTAATCAGAGCTCATCATGCCCAGCCACAGCCTGGGAAGAAAGTGCTCAGAACTTTCTGGGAATGGGGCTTAGTRTGGCACAGGCCAGAGACCAGGGAGTAAATGGTCTGCAAGTCCCTTCTGACTTGGGTCTGGTAACAGGTCTGCCATCTTGTTATTGCCTTCAGTAGGAATTTAATAAGATACCCAGAAATGGGGTGGTCTCTGCCCCTGAAAGCATACTTTCCATGGGAGGGCTGGGCCTAGGGCACCCTTTCACCTGGCAGCCTCTGAGCATCCTCCTGTCCCCATAACCCACTTCATGACACTCTGGGCATCAGGAGCTGGACTTGTGACCCTCAGAGGGATGCCTTRTCCCTAGACCCTGTTACATAGCGAAGTGGTGCAGAGGCCACTTTAGTGGCACACAAAGGTGGGGGTCATCCCAGAGCCTGTCTTATCATGGAAGGGAGGCCTTGTGTCAGTTGAAGACTGAGGCTATAGGCCACAGCCCTCAGACCTTCGAGTCACGGTGCCCAACAAGGTGGTTGCTTGGGAAGTACCTGTGTGCCAAGAAGGGCAGGGGCGGGCGGTCCAGGCCTGTGCTGTCCCTTCTGCATTAGCAAACTGCTGGTTAAGTGGGGGCTGCTCTGTCCTGGCTGGTTCCCCTCCCAGTGGAAGCCTACAGACGGCATCTCTGTGGCCTCCCCAGGACAGTGACTAGTGGGTGAAAACCTGGGGGAGGTCGTTGGAGCTCTCTGGACTCTCTCACTGTATGGGCTCCTGCACTCCCCCCAGCCCCTCAGTCAGCAGGTCCTGACCTAGGAGATYGGGCATGCCCCACAGCCACTTGTGAGCTTGCCTTCCCTCTTCTGCCCACACCCATGGAAACTACTGAAACAGCAGGAGCATGCCATCCCTGCCCTCA